GATTCCTGTAAATATTGATTGCTTTTTCCTTTTTTTTTCTCTTTTTGCTTTTTACATGAAAAAAATGAGATGAAAAGTGCACCATTTGAAAGAGGCAGCACTTATATTTGTGTCATCTAAGACACACGGCATACAATTGAAAACAGAGAATAAGAGGAAAATTCGAGTACCAAACTGTATGGGTAGTGATTGTCGCAGAAAACTCGCGAAAAGCCAACTAAAAAGCTGCCACAAAGAAAAAGAATAAAAGAAAGGGATACATTGCCTTATAAGGTAGATACACAGTAGATGTGCTGCCAGGTTGAACTTGAAACACAAAGACCGGTGGTGTAATGGTAACACATTGCGTCCGGACGTGGGCAGGAGCGAGTTCGATTCCCTTCCGGTTCGGAGCAATTTCTGAAAAAGGGCACCGTTCACGACAGTGATGGCATGGCCGGTGTAATAATGACTGGCACGGAATAGTGGCTCGTAGTACTGCTTTCATGCAGAACTGATTGTCTGTTTGATTCCATTCGTGGGACGACCAATCCATCTACAGTTTGTTGATTCGTTTCGATGGTAATTTGGTATTGGTGCATGCGGAGGGGTTAAAATTGCCATCAGCTTATTTCTAAACAATCTTCTGGGCAGGACGCTACCAGTACCCTTGCCAACAGGTAACGGTGTTGGTTCGTGCTCCAATAAAGATGTTTCTGAGAACTCCAGCTCTTCAAGGTGATTGAGTATGGAAAAATTCTCACTTTTAGTTAGCATACTCAAAGCATCACTGGTCAGATATGACGGAAAGTTGAAAAATTTTTACTATAAAAACAATAAACAGCGATCAGATTGTTTTATAAGCAAATGTGGATTACACGCATTTAGTTTATTGATAGCTGCCTGAAGCAGCTAATAATTTATAGCCTGGCTCTCTAACTGCACAGTTAGCAAATTTCCTAGTTGCTTTAAGCAGTTGCCTGGTGGCGATCCTATTCTTCCTTTCCTCTTCTCAAATTTGGGTTATTAAGCCAATTGTAAAACAAGTTGACACTGGAATCATAAATGACGAAGGCGCGATAGATTACAGCATGAAAAAACAATATGAGAGAAAGTAAGGGTGTGGTAAGATATTTCGGTTCATTAAGTCAAATATGCCTTAATTCAACACTGTGGCAGGACCTCGTCAGTATGACCGTTGCAGTGCTTAATGGAAAAGGAAAAGTTAAAAGAAAGACTACAGAAAGAAGCAGAAGGGAAAGCGATAAAATAGTGGAATTAGATAGAGTAAGAATGGGGTTGAAGAGAGAAGGGGAAAGAAAAGAGAAAGAAAAAAGATTTCTGAAAAAGCAATTTTTTTTAAACCTCTTCGCAATTGCTTTGAGCAAAATACGTGTTTTAAGGTGCAAGGTTTCAAGCATTATGTTGATCAGTATGCGAAGCACAATGTTGATAGTCAGGGAGAACCGCACAAAGTTGTCTATGAATCTGTGAACAATCGCTGGGAAGTAGCGCTTACCATATCGGACAAAGGTTTCCAACAAGTTTCCTTTGCAAATAGTATCGCTACCACAAAGGTGTGTTTTTTGATTTTAAGCAAAAGTCACAAACGCTTCAGAATTACTAAATACAAATTATCAAAAGCACCTGAAAGTTTTTTGTGAGCAAAACAAATACTTTTAGAAAATGTCTTTTTTTACAAAGAGAAATCCTCGTAGAAGAAAAAACTTAAAAAAGTTTTTTTTCTGATCAGTAAAAAATATGAACTTTTTCGTCTATGAGAGGAGATTAATGCTTTATTATTTTGAGTGCAGTTTAATTAATTTCAATTTCAGGGAGGCAGGCATGTTGATTACGTAGTGGACCAGATAACAAGCAAATTAATCGATGTTATCAAGAAGAAAATTGGCAAAACTGGTGGAATTAACGTGAAACCGTTCCAGGTTCGCTTGATTCTTTTTTCTAGATCAAGGAATGGTAACATTCGAGATAAAATGTTAATGCGTAAAACATTAAAAAGAATTCGAAGCCACTGAAACTTTGTCAAGTTCTTCTGTTAGGAGAATATTTATCAATTGGTTATCTCCTCAAAAAATGAAACTAAAGCAAAATCACGGAAATAAGATCAGGTTTTGTAAAGTTTTCTGTCCCGTCATCCAATTTTTCCTCTCTCTCAAGTTTTGTAAAACTGAAGATGTTTGATTCAGTTTCTCAAACAGAATTCGCTGACTAGCAAATACTGCCATGTCAGGCCTTATCACCGTCGAAAAGCAGATAGCGGCAGCAGCAGAATCAATTTTTGAAGTTTTCAACGAGTAGCTGCAAAAACTCACACATATTTTAGCATATTTAGCAGAGTAAAAATTGTTCTTGCATTGATCCGAATCGATGTGCGGCTTCGCTATATTTTACCGTGATACTGTTTCGTTATCCAGTTTTTCCTCTCGCAGCTTGCATTGTTGCAGATCAAAAATCACATGTGGGTATTTGTGAATGCGTTAATTGAAAATCCAACGTTTGATTCGCAAACCAAGGAAACGATGACTTTGCAATCAAAGAGTTTCGGCTCGAAATGTGAATTATCTGATAAATTCGTACAAGCAGCTCTGAAATGCGGTATCGTTGAAGCAATTATGGCATGGGTACGATTCAAGCAGCAAGAAACACTGGACAAGAAATGCTCATCGAAAAAAACCAGTAAACTGAAGGTGCTTTTTTTGGCTTATCTGTGAAGTTTTTGATTAGTTAAATAAATCATTAGTGCGCCAATCCTCTAGATTTTTGATATGGAACTTTCGAAAAAATTGTCATTTAACTGGACACAAACGTGATGGTTACTGTATCACAGTACTTTTCAACTCCTTCATCTCTTATAAACTAGTTATGGAGAGGATTTTAAACGGTTGTATTAGCAGCAGTAACAGTAATAGCAATATTAAAAGTAACTTTTGCGGATTGTCACCAAGTGGGGTAGCTGTTCCATCCTTGTTGCGGAAAATTCGCGAAAAGCCGGCCAAGAAGCCGCTACAAAGAAAAAAGAGAGGAAAAGAAGGTGTGTCTTGTCTTGAAAGGCAGATACACAGTAGATGTGCTGTCAGGCTGAACTTGAGGCACAAGGGTTGGTGGTGTAGTGGTAACACATTGCATCTGGACGTGAAGAGGGATGGTTCGATTCCCTCCCGGTCTAGAACAGTTTTTGAGAAGTGGTTCCGTTCACGACAATCCTAGCTGAAATATCAAAATCCTTCCCCATGGCGCGTTTTAAGCACTCGAGTTTAGTTTGAATGTAGAAAGCCGTCTTTTTTTCTAAAATGTCCTTTAGAATTTTTTCGAAATTCCCTTTACAGACTAATTAAATGAGCTGACTGTTGCTTATGGTGGAAATGTTAGCTGTGCTGGGTAAGGTGAATATAGTCTGTTTATTGCTTTTTTTCGTTTTTGCATATTTGCAATTTGCAAAAATACATATTGTTTCTAATAATTCAAGTTTGAAAATGACAAATGTTTAAGGGTGTTCCAAAACTGGAAGATGCAAATGATGCTGGGACGAAGAATTCCATCCACTGTACTCTCATCCTTACGGAGGGTGATTCGGCCAAATCTCTAGCTGTTTCTGGGCTTGGAGTTGTTGGACGCGACAAGTATGGCGTGTTCCCACTGCGCGGTAAAATGCTTAACGTTCGAGAAGGGAATCATAAACAGGTTTTTTTTTGAAATAGTTTCTTAAGCATAAAAATGCATGTTGTGAAAAAAAAACCATCTAAAGTTTTTGATGAATTCTTTTCTTGGCGATTGTGATTTTTTTAAAAACCATTGGAAATTTCCAGCAGCTTTCTTCACAAAAAAGAATGGCGCTGTAAAAAATGACTTAAATAATAGCATGAGTTGTCATGATATCGCTGGAAAAGTTTCCGGCAGATGCTCCTAGCTAAGAGAGTTGTGACTGGCCACCACGAATGTCAGAAAATATCCCCTTAAAGTCCCAGCTTTCTAGCTTTTCTGCTTTCCGAGTTAGCAGCTTACCCGCAAGAAAAATTAGACGGCCCGCACATCCAGAAAACTTTTTTTTTTCAGATTATGGAAAATGCTGAAGTGAATGCATTGCTCAAAATTATTGGCTTGCAATATCGTTTGAAGTATGAAAAAGATGAGGAAATGAAGACACTACGCTATGGCAAAGTAATGGTGATGGCTGATCAGGTTAGCTTTTTTTCCAAATGACGCATCCAGAAGTAACGGAACAGGGATCTAACGTGTAAGAGAATAACTAGAACTACAAGGGATTGTGGCCAATTGGGAAAGCGTACAGAAATAATTATCATGAATTACAGGAAATTGCGTTCTTTAACGAAATTATAGC